GTAGACTCTGTGAGTCTACTCTGCTGTAATTGACCAGATGGCCAAGTCTTTTCTGATTCGTCTTACAGTTTTAGAACATTCATTCAAACTTTTAAACACTCCATAAAAGAATGGGTTTAGAACACATCTTCAAATGCACCATTTAGGAAGCTTTGAGAGATGAGATAATGTGAAATGTTTATTTTGAAAAAAATACAACACGTTTTTGATCTTCGAGAGATGTAAACGTATTGTAGGAGTCCAACAAATTAAATTATGAAGCGTTAATAATAATAATAATAATAATAATAATAACAATAGGGAGACTTTAATGCATTTAGGTTTGTTTCATTAATTAGCACACAATACATCGAAATGACAGCGATTGCGATGCCTTTGTTACACCATCTGCTCTCTCTGGCCAAGATGAGATTGAAGCAGACCCTCCACACAAACATAACAGATAGTGATGTGTTGAAAAGGCATTAATAAAAACTTTATTTGGTGTTTACCTGACAACCACAGTCATTTTTAAAGAATAAGTTTAAAAGATGTTGGATTTAAAAGCCACTAAACACCCAACTGTGGTGACACTGTGAGATGGCGCAAACTCATTATATAGTCAATAATCTGCATCTAAGTCCTTTACATTGTTTGATGTGATTTACTGAAAAGATTAATTGAATTACAATAACAGAATTTCTAAAAAAAGAAATAAAATGGAATGTTGGAAGGTTGTATTAAGAGTTGTAGCATTTATTACAAACATAAATAAGTTATACTAATAATTTACTTCGCTAACCTTATAGAGCCTCTGATCTTCCGGTGCTCGCTTCAGAATGCCCTCCACAATCCGCTTCAGCTCATAGACTGTGGTAGACTCCTTAGCATCTGTAAAGATGGTTGTCTTGTGACGTCTGATCATCAAAAAGACATCCTGGAGAGAGAAAAAAAACAAGCTAGTTACTCAACTTTTATTTCAATCTCATTATAAACTCATCTTTGAGATTTACATGTTCAATGCTCCAAATATAAAAAGTGTCTCATTTTAAGTTTATAATATATCTTTTAGACAGCAATGTGACTATTAAAATAAAATAAAATCGATAATTATTAATTTCCACATGTACAGTTTTCAAAGATTCCCAAAATTATGTTTAGCAGAGTAAGGGAACTTTCACAGTATGTCTGATAATATTTTTTTCTTCTGGAGAAAGTATTATTTGTTCTATCTTGGCTAGAATAAAAGCGGTTTTTAATTTAAAAAAAAAACATTTAAGGTCGATATTATTACCCACCTTAAAAATTTTTTGTCAATTGTATAACAGTGGTTTGTTCTGTAGACTGACTTTCCTAATTACCCAACTTACCTAGTTAACCTAATTAACCCTTTAAAACGCACTTTAAGCTAAATACTAGTATGTTAAAAATATCAAGTAAAATAATATTTACTGTAAACATAGCAAAGATAAAATAAATCAGTTATTAGAAATGAGTTATTAAAAATGTTATGTTTATAAATGTGTTAAAAAAATTCTGTTAAACAAAAATTAGGAAAAAATAGAAAATAATTTAACAGAAGGGCTAATAACTGTGACTCCAACTGCAAATGAATTAATCTACTGTGGTATAAAATATAAACAAATTACCCAATACTGTACTAAGTTTTCATCAACAATCCATCAGCTTACTGTAGTTATAAAAAAAACATATAAAACTCATATTTTATAACATTTAATCAGTTAACTAGCGTTAATACTACAGTATGATGTAGCATTAAAGTGATGCAAATAGAGAAATATTTGCAGTATCATAATTCATTAGTACTGTTACAAGATTAGTCACAATTGATAGCATACAAAAGAAGTTTGCATTTACTTTAATTAAAAAAAAATTATATTGCATTTTATTGATGTGTGTGTGTGTGTGTGTGTGTGTGTGTACTAGGCATGGACCAGTATAAGATTCTGACATTATGATAAAAATATCACAATTTGATAGTATTGTGATCACTGCTCTAAAATATATTCTTTTTAAATTTGTAGGTAAAAATCCAAAAAAGAGGCAGTTTTAAAACATTCCTTGAAAACGATTATCATTCCATGCCTAGTGTGTACTGTGTATATTTATTATGCATATATACAGTGCTCAGCATAAATGACTACAGCCCATTTTGAAAATAAACGTTTTTATCAATTTCTCAGTGAATATGGATAATATATGGATAATATATTGGTGCATTTTAACAAAACAGATTTATTAAACAGATATATTAATTAAAATAACATTTTAGTCACAGAACATTTTTAGAAATGGAAAGATAATACAATTAAATTCATGCAAAATAAGCTTTTTTTTTGTTGCTATATTTAAAAATTGTATTCAATATTTTTCTCTAACATAGAAATTTGGCCTACTAAGTTTTGAACCATTATTCTAAGTTTTGTTAGATAAACTCCAGATTTGGCTTCAATACTGACTAATCTAATGTATATGCACAAATAGAACATTGTAAAGCATACTATAGAAAATATTTGTGAGGGGTGTACTCTTACATGCTAAGCAATGTACCTAGACATGTATAAACATGTTAATTTATATAAAGTATTTATTTAGCAACATTTTTTATATTTAATGTACATATATGTATTGTATGTGTGCTTTAACATTTACATAATATACACTCGCATTTGTAATATTGAAATAAAAAATACAAATTTATTTTGTACGCAGTTTGTCACGATTAATAGTTAAACGTTGCCAACTTGTACTACACTTTACTACAGCATGGTTCAAAAACACTATAGTATTTCTATAAATTACTGTAGTATTTTACGTGAGTTAAGCTGATGCTTTTATTCAAAATGGCTTACAATTGAGAATAAATAGTAAAAAAAACGTTGTTTTCGAAATTTACAAGTAAAACCACCGCTGTTTTCTCCAATAAAAGAATGAAAAGAAAAGCAGATGGCGAACAGCTGCAACGAGCCAACTAAGCTAAACAATTGCAAATGAAACGCCGACAGCTGCAATTGTTTGAAGTTGTTGTTTACTTTATCGTTAGTAATTGGCAACACCTAGGAAATGCGGCGCGTTGCTGTGCGGTTTGTTTACTGACAGATAAATAAGCTGCATTACGAAGGGCTACATTTTTCTGTTAAACTCACTGCAAAGGAGGATAAACCAAGTATTATCGACGTCGGGTTATCGCAAGTTACGTTATCTTTTCAAAAATGGACGCGAAAACTGACGCTAGTGACGACGGCAGGCTACAAACATATCGACCAGCGCTCGATAAGCTATTAAATATTACTGTTCATACTCGTTTATAACGTAGATTAAATGACTATGTGGAAACTAGAAAGGCAGAGCTCAGAATGATCAATGACAGGACCAGCCCGTTCCTACATTATGGAGCTGTCATGAAATCAACACCGCGATTAACAGCCCTGTTTCGGCCACAGCGTCGTGCAGCCCATAAACACACAAACAAAACAAACCCGATTGTCCATCGATTCTTAACATTCTCTAACTAGACAGGCCGTCGGGCGCCTTTCGCTGACAATCTAATTAGTAACCTAGTAAATTGGGCGGATTTAGCTTGGGAATGTTAGCCGGGTTGCTAAAAATATTGCGAAACAAAGAGCTCTGAATAAAGGCTGCGCTTACACACGGTAGCCACTTCAATCTGCATCTAGTTTGTTTACAATCCTTCACAACTACATTTTTAAACTCCAAAACGACGAAATATGTTTGATCTTGGTTACGTTAGCTTCCTCACTCACCATTTCTCTACGTCTGTTTCGCTGACTTCTTCCACTATCCCACGCTGCACTGCGGAAATCAAAGCGCTCGATCCAGTCCTCCACGATCCCAGATGTCTTTGCGCGAGCAGCGTGAACTCTTTCCTGTGCAGGAGACGGTCGCGCCCTAGTGGCCTCGCATAATTCTTTTAACTATCACTTGTTGCTCATAAACAATTTGTTATATTACGCGTATTTTGATGTACATTTTCTTTTATTCTAGTCGAACTAACTCTTGAAATGACAATGAAAAGTACCGAATGGGTTTCGTGGGGATTTCTGGAATGGCCCAAAATGTTTATTGGAACAGGATGTGCTCATATTTTTAGATAATTTATTGGAGATTATAGGGTAGTGGTTTGTAACCAAGGACCCACTTGTCCACAGGGGGCTTTAAAATGGTTAGTCTGATTGAAAACAAAATATGCTAAAAAGTATAGACTGAAGATGGGGTCATATTTTATATTTAAATGAATCCCCTGGAACGTTACACCTCTTTAAGAACACCTGGATATAAACCCTGGTTTCACAGGTGAGGCTCAGGGCTAGACTAATCTAAACAGCATGTTTAAGCCATCTCAAACATGATGTTCTGAGGGGCAAAACAAACTATATAAATATATGTAATATAAATAATGAAATATTTGATTAAGATTTCATTCAGGGGTCGCCACAGTGAAATTAACCACCAACTATTCCAGCATATGTTTTACACAGCAGCATATGTTTCACACATCCAGCCGCAACCCAGTACAGTGAAATATCCTTTCACACTCATTCACACACATACTCTACGGCCAATTTAGTTTATTCAGTTCACCTATAGCGCATGTCTTTGAACATGTAAACTTCACACAGAAATGCCAACTGACCAAGCCAAGACTTGAATCAGTGACCTTCTTGCTGTGAGACGACAGTGCTAACCACTGAGCCACAATGTCACCAAGATCAATATTTATATAAAAGATTAAATACTTCACAAAGATAAAAAAAAAAATGATAATAAGTCACTCTCAAGTGCTTCCAAAGCTTTGAGGGCTTTTATTTTTTAACACAAAATAACTTATTTTGATGATTAATGGACACTGTTAGCCACTGTTATCCCGATAGAAATGGCTACTAAAATATTTAAATAATATTTTTTTAGTAAGGTTGTTCCAGAAGATATGGTGTGGGGCAGGAAATACAAATGAATATGAAACGCACAAAGACACACCCTTAAAAGTAGTACAAACTATTTATTCTGAACAAGGCCTTGCTGGACAAAACTGAAACTGATTATAAAAAGTGTATTTGGGGGCAAAGGGCTGGTAAACGTGCACACTTCATTTCAGAACCTCACAATAACCTTCAAGTTTGCCTACAACTTCTAGTAGGAATCAAGACTTTATAAAAAAAGCTTTTGATTTATTAACATTATCATTATTTATCTCATTAAATCAGTTATTTACCGACCAAATAAAACTTTTCTCTTTTCTTACCCTCTTTTTCCAGCAGTTTATATTAATACTACTCTATTGTATACCATTAAAAAGGTATTTATTCACAATGTTGCATTATATTTCAATATGAAAGTCACAATCATAATAACAGTCTCTCTGGACTCCAGGGTTCATTATCCTCCATCCCTTCATTGATACGTTCTGTACAGAGCTTCTTCCTCACACTCCAGTAATGATATTCAGGCACACTAGCAACAGAAAAAAAAAGAAAACTACTGAACATTCTGGAGATTAACAAATAAGCAACAACCATAAGTAACAACAACAACTTGGTACTGTTAACTCACACTTACCCAGAGCTTGCTTCATGAAATAACAATGCAATCCGCTGATTCTCCTGTGTTAAATTTGAAAAGTTAATGACCACAGATGTAAAGGAAAAGCAGACACTGATAATGCTTCAGACAGCATAGGGTTATACTCACGGAATATTCGTTTAAGTGCCTCAATTTCTTTTAAAGGATTTGGTTTCTGGATTTTGAATGAGTACTTTGCAAGATCATCTTCACTGAGCTTGATTGGACAAAAAATATACATTTCATTATTTACAATCTAAAAACAACCATTCAGAAGATAAAGATATTTTTGAAAAGAAACATCTACACAGCAAGAACATGTTACAATAAAGGTTTCAAACCTTCAGTTTTTTTTTGTTTGTTTCAAAGGATCAATTAATTGCTTTTGAACTTCAGTCATGTGACATTAAATGGCAGTAATGGCTAACATTACATTTAAAATAATTTTTAAATACTTAGTAACAATTTTTCACAATATAACTGTTCGCTTTGAAATGACAAAATAAATACAGCCTTTATGAGCCTAATATACACCAGAATACTTTGACCCCTATTTTGTTTATTGTAAACATGTAGAATCAAGCAAAATCAAAATTTACTAAAGGGTACATTTTTTTTAAATAAAGTGTTAAAGGAACACTACACTTTTTTTGTAAAAAGGCTCATTTTACAACTGCCCTAGAGTTAAACAGTTGAGTTTGACCATTTTTCAATCAATTTAGCCGATCTCTGAGTCTGGAAGAAGCACTTTAAGCTTAGCATAAAATATTTAATCAGATTTAACAGAGCTGCATAATATCATTGTGCCTGCTGCAGCCATGGTACAGCAGCAAAATTCATTGATTATTACTCCAGAATAAGTGATGAGTGTATAGTTCTAAGCCATATCTGCCTATAATATAGCAGCCTTTCATTTTCCATCGGTCTTAGTACACCGATGCTAATGGTCTAATCCAATTAAATTATTTATGCTAAGCTAAGCTAAAAGTGTTCCTACCAGACCCATAAAACAGCTTAATGCATTTAATACATAAAAAAATAAAAATAAAACTCAACGAACCTATTTCTAAAATAATTATAGTGTTCTGATAATCATAACCTAATAGTAATATTCCAGTGAATAAAATACATACTGGCTGATCTCTGGGTGATGTATAAGGCTTTTTTCCCTCACACCGATGAAGAACCAAGGGTCTGTGTTTGGTTTCTGGATGGACACTGCAGTTAAATCGCAGCACGCTAACAGGCAAATGAACATGCCAACTGTCTGGATGCTTCTTCACCAGATTTTCTACCATGCTGAAGAGAAACAGGACAATCATTTCAAAATGACTCCAAACTTACACTGTGGCATATGTCCAGAAGATAAACAAACATACTTGATAATGTGATACTGAGTGTGTGGCTCCAGCTGTGACGCCTGGTGATGTCGAGAGACAAGGGAAATATCCTTTATCATCAAAATGTTATTCAGTGCTCTGTTAACCTTGAAAATAATAAGAAGCAAATTTGGAGAAGGTCATTCATTAAACTGCATTAAGAAACGTCTCTTCACATTTTAAGAGACCAAAATAAAAGCATGCATGAACTGTTCTGGTATTATCCAGGGAGTCATAATGCAGGACTTACCGTTCTGACCTGAATCCCTCTTGCTCCCCAAGGAGTGAGAAACCCTAGAGGAAAACCATATCGGGAAATGGCATCACACATAAGCAGGGCAACAGAATCAGAATTAGGCTTTTCTGTCGGGAAAATTTCAATCCACTTGGTGTAATAGTCACAGATGACCACGATGTGACTGTAGGGGCCTTTGCTTTCTTGAAATGGCCCGGTTACATCTATACTCAGCCACTGCCATCTCTCTGTCACCTGGAAAGTGTAAAAAAAGTTTGAAAGTTAACTATATATCTATATTATCTATTTAGGCTATTTTTTTCCTAGTCTTCACAGAGAAATAGATTTGCATATAAATCTGTAAGAGACAGACCTTGATAAACTTGGAGTTTGGATTTTGTGGGGTTTCAAGAGGTGCATCATCACTGGTGACATCACTTTCAGGGTCCTGTAGAAGTATAGCGAAAAAATGTATATTCATATATATGACAATATATAATTATATAATATATAATTTAATTATTACATTTTTGGGCCGATACCGATAACTTTTTAGATGAACCGATATATGTTCTGTATGCTGTTGCTTACATGTAAAAATAAATCAGTAATTTTAAAATGCAAAATTAAATGTGTCAGACACAAAATAGACATGTCAATAATTTTTTTTAAATTTAATAACAATGTAATATTAATCTGACCGGCTAATATTTGGTTAATGAGCAGTGAATATTGGTTGGGAAAATTAACAAAATGTTTATACATGCAATATTTTTTCCTGAGGCAATTTAAACCAAAATACAAAATGACATTCTATCAAACATATCTACAATCATAAGGAATTTGATTACTTACTGAGCAATTAACGCACAGCAATACCGCACAAAAAAAAGACAGAATTTGAAGGAATAAACAACATGAGGAAAGTGCACCGGACAAGTCTGAACAAGTTCAACCCATGTATGCATGAAGCAGGCAGTTCTGTACGATTATGTAATATATTGGATTAAAGACATTAGCTTAATATTGATATCGGATCGATAACGATAAGATTTTTAAAAAGCATTTATCGGCCGATAATAATATGGCCGCCGATATATTGTGCATCCCTAATATAGATAATATTAAAAGTATACATATTGACAGAGACACAAAACATTCAGAGTACAAAACAGAGTTATTTTATGCACTGCTTGTATTGGTTTTGATGTGAAAGGTTTTATAGATCTTGCTTTTAACAAATGCGATCTTAAATTACAAGACTTTGCCATATAAGTTGGTGCATGAATAAAAGTTCTCTAAACATTAAATTTACTTTAAGAAAGACATTCAGAGTTTACAGCTTAATTTGCAGGTAATTCTGCAAAATCCATACAATATTTGGCCATAGGTTATTTTAATTGACCTGCCAGTGATGCCAATGCATATTTAAAAAAAAAACTGTATTGTAAACAGGTTATGTCACTGTGTAAATTAATATATATTAGCAACAAACGACATTAACGTAGACATTAATGCTAAATCTTAGAGTCTTAGCAATTTACATGTTTGTATAAATTTTTTTGGGGATGTTAGCCATATCTTTATATAATATATAGTATAATATAATATAAATAACCATAAGAATTTAGTAAGAACAACAGTATGAAAAACTGAAGAGTAAGTAAAATAGTAAGGAAAAACTGAGGTATACATTGATTGAATAGTTATATTATATGTCTTCTAGTCACACTACTTGTTTTGAGATTTAGACACTGAAAGAATATAAAGGACTACATACACTAGAGTCATCATCAGATTCGCCATCACCCTCCGACAGCTTCATCCAGTGAAAGCTCTGTGAAAACATATGGTTTGATGTATTAATGTTTAAGTGTATAATAAACTTGCAGCCTAAAGCCGCTAAACATAAAACAACAATCAATAACCTGAGGTTTGCAGTAGTCATCGTGGAAGCTGCCAGCGTGAAAGAGTCCACGGCTGGAACCATTTGAATCCACATTCACACGAACAAATGTCCCTTCAAGCCTAGCAAACCCATAAACAAGTGATGATCAGATAGAAGGAAAACAACTGCAGATTCTGACTTATTTGATACCAGATACTGTACTTTACCGTGGTGTTACTGGTGCTGACACTAGGGTTGGTTTTGGTTTAATAGGCACTGCAACCGGCGTACGATTCTTAAACATGCAAAGTAAACAAATAATCACTTGAAATAAGAATAAAAAATAAAGTATGAATATTGAAAAGATTAGTAGTGTCACATAAGAGCACTGCAGCTGTGATGTCAAAACTTAAGACCATTTCCCCACTGATTCCCTCCAGATTTAATAAGAACGCTAATCCAAAAGTAAAATAACAATTGTGGTAAAACCAACTTTACAACATTTGGATGTTTTGCAGTCTAGCAGCTACGTTTAAAACAAACAAGCAAACATTTCTTATACGTAGCTAGAAAAAAACTTAGCTGTGTGTGCAAGTGTGAGCAGTTTATACAGTTAAACAAATCTTTCACAGTCTGAATGTCACAGCTGCAGCACTGTATTCTGTACAAAACAGATTCCCCCAGAGTAGACCTGTCACAATGACTACATTTTTGTGAAAATTAAGGTTGATGTAATTAACAACATAATTTGGTTTGGCAGTTATATAATTAGCTTAATCTTATTTTTTCCACTTGTATTAATGTGTTTATAATCCAACAACATGCATAATTAAAATAGGCACATAAGATTTACATTAATGTTTTACTTTATATGACATAAATCACAGAATATTATACAATGTAATACTATTATTTACCTTATTGGACACTAATATGGTCATTTTAAACTGATATATTGAGGTATTATCAGTAATTGAGACCTACTCCAAAGGTGAATATACTTCTCTGATGTTGGCTGTCTCAATACATGTGTTGTATATTGACACCTGTATGTGACATTCCAAGGTTTTTAGTTCTACAATGATTTGTTTTATGATTTAGTCCATTCAGATTCATATTCAGATCAACAACACACATGTCATGTAATTTGGAGCATAATAATTATTGTACTACTGCAATTATGATGTACTTAATGAAGTATTTCCAGTATTGCAATAGTCACAGAAAAGCCGTTTACAAATGCGTACAGTTGTATTCATAAACTCCATCAGTTAATTAATTCACTGATTTACTGAGTAAGTATATGGTTTGTCCTCTTATCTGCAATACATACCAGAGATCGCCTTTTGACAGCTGGCACCTGTATTTGGATATTCAAAAATAAAAGGTGAAATTAAAATGTGCATGAAATTGTAATTTACACTACAACACTTGCATTTACAAAACAGCAAAAACCTTATGAGATCAAGGTAAAGTTGGTTTTATAGTCGTACATTCGTTCAGTGACAACTTGTGATCTGCTCCCTATATTGTTTACCATGGTACTTTGATTGTTCGGGCTGAAGTCACATGATGCAAGTATGACTTCAAAACAGCATTAGCACTGTTTGTTGACTGTGAACTATGATGTACTTTGACAGTCACTGGCTGCTAATATGATTTTACTATTTAGAATTTGTAAATAACATTTTTGCATTTCATGGTATTAGAATAGAGTGCGAATGTGTGAACAAAACCAACTTCACCTCAACCGTTATGAAGACTGACACAAGACGACTTTTACTTGCCTTCCACTGGAGATGCTTAGGGAAATTAAAGATAGTCGGGACAGCACTTTTTCGCAGTCTTTTGTGGCTGCCCACTTGCTCAAAGCAGTCCTTCTCAAAATGGTCCGAGCACAGGACAGAGTTTCCAGTGGGCCACCAGTTCTGCCATCTCATCCGCCGGAGCCATTCTCGGACCCTCAGGCCGTCCTCCAGCGGGAATCTGCGGATAAACAGACAAACACGCGCACACACACCGACCTGTGACAAAACCGCAACAACCATGGACAGACGTGCATGTTTCAGGGGCTTGTTGATGGTTGGGTTTTACTTACTTGTGAAAAGAAAACTCGCCCCTCTTGTATGCCTCTTTATACTCTCTGTCTGAACGCTTCTTGCACTTATACGCGGAGCACACTGGCATTTTAAAAGGATTTACTCAACTTCAATTAGATTTAGATCAGCGAGCGTGTTTTGTTTTTCCGGAAACGGTTCTTTGGTGGATTTTGTGGCAGACTGAATGCTGAATGTACTGCCACCTACTGGACACTCGAATACTCCCTCTCTCTGTGTTGATGAGCTCTCTGCTGTACTGCTTTTATGCATCTGTTGTTTATTCTGCACAGAGTTTAACTAAACAGTATTATGGTTTTAATAATTATGCTACAAAAGCACGTGTGTGTTGCATGTAAATGAAAATGAATGTTTTATGAGAGTGAATGGCTCAGGTCAGGCCAGATTTAGTTCAGAGTCCCCTGGGCATCGCCACACTGTAAAAAGTGCACACACTTCCTTCAAGTTGTCCCTACACAAATCAATTAGGTTATCGTTTTTACAAATTCAAGATGTTTTAACATAAAAAGCAAGTTGTGCCAAAAAAACGTATTTTATCCCAACTAATTATTTCACGTTAATCCCAAATCTTTAACAAATAAATGAAACAAAACGTTTTATTTGTTAAAATGACACATCTTTCTTAAATCTTATAAAAAAATCAGAAAATAAACGGAAAATTCCCCAAAAGCACAGGCACATTTGCAACCATAAAAAGTTGTTTTCAATATATTCATCACAAAAGAAACAGTTTTTAACATCTAGAGAATTTGATATGTCCATTTGGTCTTGAAAGAATATGAAAAAAACTGAACAGTGAAGATTACATGCCGCATTTCTTCATTTTACAAGCTTAATTTTTCCACTCCAGTCCAGTTGGTGGCAGTAAAACACCAAAGGGTTTAAGGCCAACCTTACAAAAAGATGACAACAACGTTACCCAGTACATGACAGCTTAAATCCCTGCATACAAACTCATAACCACACGCCACCGTTCAACAGTCATTTAGATAAATAGCAGAAAGATCGAATTAAGAGTAAGCTGAATATAACGCTGGTAAAATCATGGTCATCCTAGTCGCACCGAACTGTCCAAACAAACATTAATGACTGGAGGAGATATGCAGCTTTAAAGATGATGTTTATTAAAGACGAGAGTGAGGATGCGCCTGATCCAGACAACAGCATAATAAAAATTGAGGAGCACGAAGGTTGGTGTCTTTTTGTATTTTTTGGTTGTTTTTTTTCTAATAACTGTTGTACAAAAGAAAGTTAATCAGAGTTATTGTCTGTAATTTAATAAAAAAATATCTGACAACTGATTAAACAGATGAATAATGTAAATAGCAACGCATTTAAATGATCACTACCTTTTATTTGATAATGTTTTTGTTTTTCTCATTCTTTTAAAGGCATAATTCACCTTGAAGTGAAAATCTCATCTTCAAGTGGTTGCAAACCTTTGAGTTCGTTTTTTTTTCAGTTGAACACCAAAGAATTTTGAGTAATGTTGCTTTCCAGATTTCCAACAAAGTTTCCAACATTCTTTAAAATATCTTCTCTTGTGTTCACAGTAGAAACTTAAAGATTTTTTATTAATAATAATAATTCCTTAGATTTATATAGTGCTTTTCTCGTCACTCAAAGCACTTAAAACATTTTTGGGGAGAATCTCCTCATCCACCACCAGTGTGCAGCATCCACCTGGATGATGCAACAGCAGCCATGGTGCTCTGATTGGTGGAGACAATTATGATATGATGCTATATGCTTTAATGGACAGAGGCCAATAGGCAAATCTGACCAGGACCCCACTTTTTTTCTGGGATTTTTAACGCAGTATAGAGTCCTCATCAATAGACGGGGGCGTTAGGACCCACACAGACCACAGCTTGAGCACCCCATGCTGGTCTCACTAACACCACTTCCAGATCGGCTGCAACCTAGCTTTCCTATGTGGTCTCCCATCCAGATACAGACCGGGTGCAGCCCTGCTTAGCTTCAGTGGGCGACCATGTGAGAGTTGCAGAGAGCTAGCTGCCAGCTATTATTGAGTGCCCTTTAAAAAAAATAATGTAAATAGCAACGCATTTAAATGATCATTACCTTTTGTTTAATAATGGTTGCACAAAAACAGAATGTTTTTATTGCGATTATTTTGTCCAAAATGTTAATCACAAATAATGATGATCATTCCATTTATTTATTTGTGTATTGTTATTGCACTTTACAGCCACAAACAAAGAAAAATAAACATAACCCGGACATGGAGAATGGAGAGGCCTCTCTAACATGTTATTTTTTAAGCTTTGGCAAATAAATTAAATAAATTTAAACTGGTCCTCTTTTATGCATGTCAACTTGTAACAAAAATAAATAAATCTGGGATGCAAAAATGTCTAACATTTGAAAGATTTTTTGCTGAAAACACAAGCCTGTCAACATGATCCGGCTTTAGGAAAGACTGCAAACAAGTAACTGCATTTCCACCTGTACTAAAAGCCCTCTCTGAAGGAGAGCTTGTGGCTGGTTTGCACAGGTATTTTCTTGCCACTTTTGAATACATTGGGTAGATCTTTCCATGTTCTTTCCACCATTTTAGTCCTGTACATTTAATCTGTTTCATCCACTTGTGTGGATTTCTAAATGTTTTACTGTTGTCATTTCAGACCTGTCAGAAGTGAAAGAGGAAAGTCAACTTCTAGATGACGTGCAGGAGGAATATCAGCCTCAGAAAGCTCATGAAATCATCACTAATGAATCCCTCAGTGTCTCCCAAACTATAACGAGTGTTCCTCAAAGCTTCCCTATAACAACAAACGTCAAAAAGCCTTTCGCTTGCTCTTTATGTGGAAAACGGTGCAACCACAGAGGCCATCTTAACGATCACATGCTGACTCACACCGGAGAAAAACCGTTCGCCTGCCCTCAGTGTGGAAAGAGATTCTCGCGCAGGCGAAACCTCAACGATCACAAGCTAACCCACAACGATGAGAAGCCTTTCGTCTGTCCTCAATGCGGCAAGTGTTATAAACGCAACGAACACTTTCAGAGTCACCTACTAAGTCACAATGCAGGCAAACCCTACACTTGCTCTCAATGCGGAAAGAGTTTCAGCTATAGAAGGACCCTGAATGATCACATTAAAATCCACACGGGCGAGTGTCTTCACGTTTGTTTACAGTGCGGAAAGAGTTTCCTGAATAAGGGACACCTAAAGGAACACGTAAAAATCCACACAGGAGAAAGACCTTTCTCCTGCCCTCAGTGTGGAAAGAGTTTCATGAGCAAACGGGACGTCGCCTATCACATGAGGATCCACACAGAGGAGAAGCCTTTCAAATGTCACCTGTGTGAAAAGGGTTTCGCCTGGGCAAGCTGCCTGAAAATTCACATGAGCCACTCTCACTCTGGCGTGAGGCAGTTTACCTGCGAGCACTGTAACAAAAAGTTTGTTCTGGAGTCCTACTTGAAGAGGCACCTGAAAATCCATCAAAACGAGAAACCCTACGTCTGCTCCGTTTGCGGGAAAGGGTTTTTATGGCAGCTGTCTTTCAAGGCGCACCAAAAAATACATGAGGGGATGAAGACGCATGTGTGCTCGGAGTGCGAAAGAGCTTTTACCAGAGCCGACTATTTGATAAAGCACAGAAAAGTGCATACAGGAGAGCGACCGTTCACATGCTCCTATTGTGGAAAGAGTTTCAGCAAGAAAGCGAACTTGGGAGAGCACGAGAGACTGCACACTGGAGAGAAACCCTTCATCTGCGGTCACTGTGGAAGCGGTTTCACCTCAGCGAAACGCTTGAGCTATCACAGAGAAAAGCAGTGCGCTGGGATCGCAGTGGATTCATGCTCTGTGGAAGTGGTGATTGTTCCAGATTTGATTGAGAATTGCATTCCTGTAGATTCTGCCACACACAACCTTTAGGGGTGAATAGACTGATATTCCGTGTCTGTGGCAGCCTTGACTGAACAGGTACAGTGGGGAAAATAAGTATTTAACGGGCCATGCTTTTTCCTGGAAATAAAATTTCTAAAGGAGCTGTTGACATGGAATTGAAGCAGATTTTGGTAAAAATACAAACATAAAAATATAACAAAGAAATCTGAAACATTAGGTATATGTAATAATAACAATGAAGTGACACAAGGAGAAAGTACTGAACTACTGAAATGTATTTAACACTTTTTATAAAAGGCTTTTTTAGGTGATGGCAGCTTAATGGTGCCTCATGTGGAGATCGAAGTCACATGCATTGCTCAAGTGTGATTTGTTTTTTTTCACTGACTTGATGGTTCTGTGGGCCTTGTCTATCAAATATGATCTTTATTTTGTATTTTCTATTGGATTCAAGTCAGGTGATTGGCCGGGCCATTCTACAGCTTGGTTTTCTTTCTCTGAAAGCATTTGAGAGTTTTGTGCATTTGATCCATTTGTGTTTTGGATCATTGCCTTGCTGAAATGTCCACTTTCGTCTTCATTGTCCTGCTAATGTAGATGTTGGACTGAAGCAGCTGATATTAATTTACAGTTACTAAGGGCAGAGGGTGGCTGAGGAACTACTGAGAGATTTCAGCTGCTGTCTGGGCTTTCACTGCCTTTCTACAGCTCCCTTTATTCATGTGTTCAATACTTTTTCCTTTGTTATTTCATTTTATTACACATAAATTCCTTTGTAAATGAAGTAATCTTGTTTTCTTTGTATGTATGGACTTCTTTGGTTGTTACCAACATCTGGTGAAAATTTCAAGTCAACGCCATTTTTTGAAATATGTTTTCGGAGAACAGTGGTGACGTGTTTATAGGGCTGCTTGATTTGGACTAAAATCAAAATCTCGATTAATTGAACATTTTGACTTAATTTCAATTAATGAACGATTATTTTATTTGTACAGTAAATATGCTCAAATATTACAAGTGAGAGATTGAAGGGTGCATTACTTGATTTTAAATAATTGAAGGAAACACAGACTATATACTATCTATGATTATTTATTGAACATCAACGCGGAACAACTGAAATTAAAACACACATTACCTAAAATCAACAGACACTTATTTCTGAAGATAAATAACTTGCACTTTTGCAAACAAGCTCAATTATTTATGTTTTACATACTAAAAGTAGAAAATAAGCAGTATCTCTTCTAAATAACATAACTCTTGCATTTCTGTAAATAATATTTAAACAGTGCATTTCTTGCATCTTCTAGCAGGCAGTGGGTTATTTTCTTCTGTATTGCCCATTCTCTGCTACCAAACCGACCAATCACAGAGCTTGTGCTATGCGTTGCAACAAAGTTACTTTTTTTGAGAGAGGTGTGCAGGCATGGGGCCGTGCAACATGCATATCAGCGCTTGACACATCAGCCTTAATAGAGCGGGGTCATGTGACTCCTCACTTGGTAGGGAATGTAATTTTAAAAAAAAATAGTTGAAAAAATTATATCTGTTATAGGCTCTGAATGTCGATTTCAATTACTTTTCAATTTATCACCCAGCCTTACATGTTCAATACTTTTTTCCCCACTGTACATCACAGAGATGTATGTTTGATAAATTTACATCAAATATTTTGTAACATTTATATAGCACTTTTTCTGGCCACCCAATCACACAGAGTTCTTTTTAGAGTGTTTTAAATGTCTCCAGGTGGATGTTAAATAGATGTTTATGATATGTCTTTAACATGTTTTTGACTTATGTTTGTAAAACAAACATTTTAAATATGTTTAAATAGGTCCTTGTACGCGGATGTTTTCCAAACCAAACGCTCTTTAAAATACATCTTGCACACATACTTGTGCTATGTGGAAATGTTTGTTCTTTGGCAAAGAAAAAAAGCTAAACAAACCATACATGTATAGATATTTATAATATATTTATAAACATTTATAACAAATAAAATGATATTTCTATCAATTAAAATGCTTTTTAAAGTAATTGTATTTCAAAGAAATTTGAAAGTCTGCAGTGAGATTTTAAAGTCCCCATGAAATCAAAACACATGATTTTGTTAGTTCACATTGCTAGCTGTGGTGAACAATTCATCGGTGCATGTCCTTCTAATCATTAATTAAAATCTGAAAATGTACTTCCTGTTTATTATTGTTTTTCAGCTAATTTGTCAGATTGTGGTGTCTGTTAGGTTGTAATACTCTCCACAAACAATTTCCCTGATCTTTCTGAATGAAATGCCTACTGTACTACATCCAATCAGCTCAGTAGAAAAAAAAACAACCTTTAAAAAACATACCTTTATTTGTTTACTACTCTCTTATGGTGCTAAATGTGACCCTGGACCACAAAACCAGTCTTGTGTAGCACGAGAATATTTGTGGGAACAGCCAAAAATACATTGTATGGGTCAAACGAATAACTTGTCTTTTTAATAAAGATTTATTAAGATACTTTGTAAGTTCCATACTGCAAATGTATCAAAACTCAATTTGTGATTAGTAAAGTGCATTTGTAATCACTTCATTTAGACTTAACATTAAAAATTAAGCATTTAAGTATTATAAGTATTTATCTGTATTTTGAGTTTAAATATCCAAATATTCAACAAATGTATCTTGCTCAAATATTGTTTTATCCCTACAAACAATACATCAAATGGAAAACTATTTTACATTTAAGACATTTATGGTTTTTATGGACCAGAGACACCGATACAAAAATGTATTTGTTTACTAATAAGAAAAGCATATGCATGTTACTTTAACATATGCTTACTGTAATAGCTCTGTGTTTGTAAATGTTTCATGTTTTGTAATAAAAACTATCATTTGAAAGGTGCAGTGTGGTTCATGCTAACAGTAGGTGGCGGTAATGCGCTGTTTGCGCTTGCGAGCTGCTGTTAAGAAGCTGTTACACAGAAGAAAAGGGAGTACGTGCGCGCGGTTTGTTTGACTTCATGTATATTTTGTGATTATTTTGTAACGTAAACTTTGTAATACCTGTTGTTTTACCTACACCGACAGGTTTATCTTAAACCAGAAAGATACAGATAAGGACTAAAACTAAAAATAGCGTGTATATAACGTTAATATATCCACGTGTAACTACAAAAGTAAGATCTGCTACTGTAACTGTTAAAGATGGCTTTTGTGAAGAAGGAAGAAGAGGAGGAGGAAGCGTGTTATCCTCAACCATGTTGCATAAACGATGAAAAACATGCAGGTTAGTTTCCATTCATAGTTTATTTGATTATAATTTGTTAATACTGGCTAACTTTGCACAAAATCAACCAGAGGAATCCATAAATTAAGCTTTGTCTTTGTTTACTACACGTTTTTGTGAATGTTTTTTAGGAAATGTACGTTCATTTGTTTGTAGACGGTGGTCAAACACTGTTTTCTAGGTAACATTTCAGCTTAGTGAAATTAAACATGGCAGACTATATAACGTTATATATATTCTTTGTTATTTACTGCACTTGCATAGAACAGATGTCTTAAGGAATATATTTATTCCAATATTTGTGCCTTTATCTCCAGATTAAATGTACCTTAATATCCTTTGAGACTCATGTCAACATTTTTCATTTGAAATCTCCAATCTTATATAGTTAAATAATCTCCAATATAGTCCAGTTTAAGATATATTATTATCGTCATGTATGGAGTAAAATTGTTCAGTGGTGGATAACCAAACTCGGGTCCTTTTTTCAAGTTGATGATATGATTTTAAATGAAGATATTGTTTTAAAAGAATGATTTCTTTTGTTTAGCAATGAACCGATTCATATGATCTTGTATCAGTAGTGTTCTGTTATTAAACAGCCAGTGAATGATGCATTCAGCGAGCTAAATGTTAATAGATTTTCAGTCATACGTTAATTTAAGCTTGCATTTAAAGGGTTCAAAATCAAAAAACAACATTATTATATATTTTCAGATAACAGAAATTTGCCAGTTTATGGTAACAACTAAACAATATTATATCGAATCACGATAAAATTTTATGTCAATAACAATGATAAGATCTGGACTTTTAAAATCTATATTGATGTAAGAGCCAATCACACAGCAGAAATGTGCAACACTGGAAATCTGAAAGTGTGTTGATATTAGAGATACACTGATTTTTTGACCACCAAAAAAAATTATCGGCCGAAAATATATGTTATGCCATTTAATTGACCCTCTAATTTTTGTGGCTTCAGTCATTGATGAGCTACTCTTTAAAATCTGGAACAACTTGCATTGAAATATCAATATCAAGATTGCATTTTTGCCATATTGCCCAGCCTCAGTAACAACCTAGAATAATACTGTATGATGTAACTAAACTTTGCAGGACACTGGCCCTCCAGGAACGAGTGTGGGTACCCCTGCTTTAAAGTTTCTAGTTTTCCTCCTTCAAAGGATTCTTCTGTCTTCTAAATGCCATAATAGCTCTTTATTAATTTTTCAGCATTGTAACTCTGCTTCAAGTGAATATTGTCCGTTCAACTAGACGTGCAGCATTGGCATTTAATAATTTGGCTTTCATAACTTTTTATATTTGGCTTTTTTTTTTAGCAACAACAAAAAATAGACTTGGGGAAATGTATGATTTGGACTATTTGATAGAATGGTATTATAATTAAAAAATGTAATGTTGTAGAAACTTTCGTAAGCTCATTGGATTCAGTGGCTTAATAGTTACTGTTGAAATTCACTGTAGATAATATAAAATTAAAGCAGATTTTTTAAAGAACTTTGCTATGCATTGTAATTTTCACCGAGGCTCTATTATATTCGTTCACTTTCCAGTCCTCTCAGCAGATTTAATCCTCGCATTAATATTGTCATTTTAGGAGTGATAAAAGTGAAAGAGGAAGTCCAAGATGAGAATGAAGTGGAGGAGAAATATCAGCCCCAGAGTTTTCAAGATGCCATAAAAGAAGAACAATCATTGTCTTCTTCCCAAACTGAAGACACTTCCTCACAAAGCAGCGCTCAAATAACAAGAAGGCCTCAATGTGGAAACACTCTCGCACATACAAGAAACTCGACCAAGCAAGTGACAAGTGACAAACCCTCAGAAAACCACAGTAGAACGGGCCAGTTCACATGCAACCAATGTGGGAAGACTTACGTGTATAAATCCAAATATGATCAACACATGCAAATCCACACTAACAACATTTTCAGCTGCTCTCTTTGTGAAAAGAGTTTCATCTATAAAACTCAGCTGGACATTCACATGAGAGTTCACACCAAAGAAGAGCCCTACACGTGCCATCAGTGTGATGAGACTTTCAGATGGAGCAACAGCCTCAAGTATCATCTGCTGCGTCATCATTCTGAAGTGCTGCAGTATAAATGTGATCAATGCCCTAAAACATTTGCTAAAGCGTCATACCTAAAGACTCACCTCAACACTCATGCGGAAGAGAAGTATTGTGATTGTGCCGCTTGTAAAAAGAGATTCTTGCAGTCAGGAAAGGCTGGAGCAGTGAATGCTACAGGAGTTTCACACAAAAAGAAAAACACATTTACCTGCTCTAAGTGTGGACAGGTTTTTACGTGTAAAAGACGGCTTGATAAACATATGGTGAGTCACGATAAAGGGACGTGTGCGCAGTGTGGAAGGATGTTTGCCACCCTTCAAACCCTTAAAATGCACATGAGAGTTCACACTGGAGAAAAGCCATTCACCTGCTCTCAGTGTGGGAAGAAGTTCTCTCATGATGGAACCTTTAGGAGGCACAAATTAAATTGCCATCAAGATGCGCAAGCTGTTTTACCTGAGAAAAAGATTCCAAAATCCAAACGCTAAAGGTTATCAGGGCCCAGTTTTTCAAGAAATTAAATTTGGATCAAATTGGTCAGGATTTGGAAGTCCCATCTTTTGCTATCCAGGATTAACTGATCTATCTTGCTTTTATGACAGTTTTTAAAGGAACATTGGGTTGGCTCACTGTGATCCAAATACCAAACATCAGGATTACCAAATCCTGTTTTCCAGAGGCTCAAATGGAACCAACAGTGTAGCCTACTGGCTTAGCAAAGAACAACAGGTAGGCAAAATACCAGTGCTCACAAACAGCCATTGTTTGTTTTAATGGTAAGAAACGGAAACGCTGCTATTAACAAACTTTCGACATTTTTTTAGTTTGTTCTTATGCAATACTGCTTTCATATTAATTTGTTGTTTACCATATCTTATTAGATGTAACTTGCTTCATATAGGCTTTAAATATGAAGGAATTCATATATCATCAGCAACCAAAAAGTTTGTGAGCATTTCACTTAAAAAATACAACAATTTGTTTTTTAAAACCAAATAAAATTAAAAATTACAACTGAATCCACCCTTCTGATGTAATCAGGATAATCCTGTATTTTTTTTTTTTTTATCAAATAGATCCCAATCTGAGTTCAAAGTTGAGTGACCCAAAGGGCAGGTATGATCTAAATCAAATGTAAGATTGGATTACATGGTCTGATCTTAATTCAGAATCCCTCTGTTATTTTTGAAAAACCCGTTTCCAAGATCTACGTCCCACTGGATTACTTTTGAAAAAAAAAAAAAAAAAAAAAAAACTGGGTCCTGATGACATATCCTTAAACTTATCTAGGTGAATCATGTAAATTGCTTTCTGGAATACCCCCTGGTTCAGTGTTGAGGTTACTGTCTAAAAAATATGCTGGATAAGTTGACTGTTCATTCCGCTGTGGTGACCCCTCATGAGTAAAGGGACTAAGCTGAAGGAGGACGAGTGAATGAAAATAAGAAAATAAACAAATGTACGTACATCAATATGTATTTTCAATTGATAATGGTTGTACTGTTTTGTTAATGGTGTTCTGTAATTTACTTGTACTGTGGTTATGAACGAGTATGTAAAAGGAAATATGGCCATTTTAACTTTGGAACTTTGCAATGTTTTGTTTTGTTTATGGAGTAAATTTTTTTGATGATTATATCAATAATAAAGTTTTTTTTTTTATTCCAACTGTCTCGTTTGTCTACAAATACAGCAGGGTCACTGAATCCAGCAACACAACGTTGCAGTAGTGACTGAAACCAGTTACTGCTCTCTGTTTTATGCAGAATGGCTTGAATGTTAACTGCAATCTGTCTGTTGACCTCTTTAAGAGTATTTAGTAGAAAGTTGCAAATTTAGTAATTTTACACCAAATTCATAAACAAACAATTCTCAGACAGTTCTCAAAACATGTTATATCCACTAATATATGTATAATTAACAAAATAATCATATATAATATTACGTATTATTAGTTATAGGATGTAATGTAGCTAAAGGGTGTACATTTGTGGGGGGGGTTTGTGCAACACATAACCATGCAGTTCCACTAAATTATGGTTAATAATTTCCCTCCAAAGAATTTTCTCATAACTTCATAGCCCTTTTATAACGTCTGCTGTTTTGAAACCCAAGTTAGACATTTAAAAGTATTGATATTTAAATATATCATCTTTCTTTTGTTTGGGCGTTGCTAAAAACAACGTGTCACCAATATCAACAAGAAACGACTGGTTCACAGTGACAAAACAGCAGGGGAACATATAGATTACTGTCGTTTTCTGGATTTTGTTCGTGTGTAGACAGTCTTTGTTTGTTCTATGATGAAAGTAATCTGCAAATGACTTCGAGCGAAGAGCGCCTGTGCAGACCGCGCGGAAGAGGCGAGCGGCCAATGCACCGGAGCACCCTGACTCTCGGCGACCGCAACACATGCTTTTACTCTACAACACATACAGAGGTAAACGCAGGTTTACATGACATAGTTGCTGTTTTCTGTTGCAACATTTGTTGAATAATCAGTCGTTTTACTTCTCTTTGACATTTTTGTTGTTTTTCTTTTGTCATAAAAATATTAAAGACCTTTATATGAATACAAATATGAATGTTGTGAGCTCCGACAGTATATCTTTTTGTTAAATTTATATATTTGCAATAATTATTATTAACTTATGTTTAAACTCAAAGGTATTATTAAAATTCCTTCTGAAAAACTACATTACCCATGATGGTGTAGTACAGAAAATGACACTAATCAGTGTTGCAGTTAGCAGGGGCGTAAATCTGATTTAACAGTAGGGGGGGACAATAACTATAAAATTTCTTTGAGCATTTTTTTAAAGGGGACACAAATTATACAGCCGAATTGTACTATTAAAGATATGTCCACACAGTTAAAAATGGTTTCATCATCATTATTATTATAGCATGGAGATTATGTCATTATGGTTTCTTTCAAAGTTTTTCTCAGGTTCAATGACAGCAAATTTTTTTTCAAAACTATTTATTGCATTTGTTTGTTGTGTTGTTCACAGTCAACTGACTGACTCCTGAAACAGAATAAATGCAGAAAGACATTTTCCATACTCATAATAACTAACTTTAAAAGCGTTAAAATGACAGATCATGTTGTAAATCAGTGAGCCAGTGAAATCTGCTAAACGGCCACAACTCCAAAAACATTTAAAAAATTGTTCACCCCAAAAGAATTGTCATTATCCCTTCAATAAACCACAACACCCTTACCTGACACTGTACATCATACTGACTCTGCTCTGCCTGTTCCTCAATCATCTCTTTCTCCCTTGCCTGTGATTAATATTGTGACATTAGTATTTTCATAAGCACTCATTCTGAAAGCCAAATTGCTTAATATGTGAACTTTTTGTACTTGGCGTTTAGCTGCACTGAAAAATTATCTTATGTCTATTTTTTCTGTCATTTTATCCAATACATGACACTGCCAGGCACGTTTATTTATACTGTAGCACATTTTACACAATGGCAATTCAAGGTGCTTTACATAAAGAATGCAAACCTATCATGAAAATAATCACAACAATAAAAACAAAGAATTAAAAAAGGTTAACATTTTAATTTCAAATTAATTGAGTCACTTAAAACAGAATAGAAACGGATTATACAAAAATACAGTGGGGTTAGTGTGCTCAGTGTAGCACAGTGCTCATTTAGCAAATACACAACTAAATATTCTGCTAATTGTGGTCGTTAATGTTAAGTTAACATTATGCCAAGTCGTCACAAATGAAACAGTGCATGAGTCTGTATTAACTACATCGAGGAGAATCGCTTTATTTAAGGTGAATAAAATCCGCAGCTGCAGCCACACACCTGACATTCAGTGGACCGAACCACTCTGAGGTAGGGGAGGGGGAACTCAATTGTTTCTAAATGCATTTTAAATGATAAATGCGGTTTTCTTTCTACTTAGACAAATATTTTAGCTATATATACACATTTATTTTTCACAATTGAGAGTTTTTATTTTATTATTTTTTTTGGAGGGGGGGGACAACCCTCGGACGGGAGGGGACATGTCCCCCCCCCGGAATGTACGCCCATGGCAGTTAGCAAAATACACCAAAATTAAACGGCTAACTCTCATGAGGCATTACTAATGGTGTAACGGTAATGATGTGAAATATCGTCGTTTCTGCTGATAAGTCAACAGAATTTTAAAATGGATATTTTTCTGTTGTTTTTGTAGAATGCCTCAGAGTATTTGTACTTCTTTATCTCATTAAAGCCATCAACTATGTAGTTTTGTACTTTTATTTTGTCTGATTTTTTATCTGGTTGATTTTCTGTCTGGTTGTATTCTCAGGATTGGTTTATGTAAGGAAAATAGTACTTTTGGGGGTGACCTACAGTAATAGATTTACATAAATTAAAAAGCCTATTGAATATTTACACTAAATGTATAATTTTGGTCACAGTACCTTCTGTGTTAATTCTCCTCCTTCAAGAGTTTTTCTAGAAGAGGACATGATGGTCAAGCACTGATCTTTCCACACCGAAATCCATGTTATCCCTCTCAGCATAATGGAAAGCTGGACCTCAAAAACATCCCTGTGACACAAGGACAGACACACTCCAGAGATGAATATGGCCCAAAGAGATCATACCAGTAAGTGTTTACTCAAAGCACATCTCAAACTAGAACCTACTGAGAGTGTAAATATGCCATGTTTAATATCTAAAAATTTTATTGAAATCCATCATGCAAGTAAAGTTTAATTTCAACGCAAAGGAAACCAATGGAAGTGATAACCATTGTTCAGGCATCTTGGAAAAATTGTTAACGAACCCTAATTTTTAGCTGCTGCTCCCATGATGTAAATAAAATGTTATCACTTCAGTAAAAGTTTTTACATATTACTAAGGACAGAATCTACAGACCTTTTTTGCCATTCCTGCACAGAATTTTGTAACAATCTGCAGAATTATGCAGAATAATTTTAAGAGTGTATGAGCTTAAAACCTAACTCATAAAAAAATAAAAAATAAATAAATAAATAAATATATATATATATATATATATATATATATATATATATATATATATATATATATATATATATATATATATATATATATATATATAGGTTTATGATCAAGGAAAGTTTTAGGGCCAAATCCAGTTAGAATGACTTGGTTGGTAAACAAAACTACAATCACTCTTATATAATACATCCACTAAAGACATTTAATAATACTGCAATTAATATAAAACCTACATTTACATTTACACATATAAAAAGTACATAAAGAAAATGAATGTTGATATAAAAAAATGTGGATTTTTCCATGCGCAGTTTCCATGTGGACATAAATTGCCAGCATCTGCATGGTCAGCCTGTACCTTCTTTTAATTTATTTTCTAAAAGGTATTAAACATTGACCCTCATCAAAACATTGATAACAATCAGCTCTAATCTCTTGGTCATTTTTCAATTCAACCAGTTGTGACAGTTTGGGGCGTGGCTAATGTACTGAAGCTGGCTGAGCCAGAAGGGGTTTAGTTGTGAAATACGAGTGATGCAATCAATACGAGTTAAAGCGCAAGCCAAAAAAAATTGAAGGCTTTTCAAAATACAGAGATTGACAACAGAGTAAAGCAAGGATAAACACTCGCGGTGCCATAGTGATGAATTTGATGGTAATGTTTAAATCAAACGCTTCCCGACAGATTTTCCAAATGATGTTATGTTCCATATAAAATAGTAAAATATTGGATGATAGGAATATACTTAAGTCATCTTGAAATCAATATGGACACTTTATTTTTTTTAGCCAACACTGCTACACTTAAAAAGATAATTTACTAAATATAAAAAATCACACACTTTCAATTTGTTTCAAACCTTCCTTCTCTTAAACAAGAAAGATTTTGAGGAAGGCTAAAAACCTGTAACCATTGAATGGGAAAAACAAATAGGATAAACATTAATGCTTACAGGTTTGCAGCATTCTTCAAAATATCTTCTTTCATATTTGAGAAAAGACAGTGTAATAGGTTTGGAAAAAGGAAAAGGATTGAGTAAATTATAATGATTTCAGCAGTTCATGCAAGTTAATTCACTGGTAAAACAAAGAATTGTTGGTCTGCAACTAAAACGAGCCAATTTGCATCTGCTCCTCAATGGAATTATCTGATAATATAGTTTTGGGTGATTTGGTTGCAACTATCAATCCACCAATAGTTTGGTAAAACTGTAAGATGGAGAGGAGGAGCACTGAAATAAAACCCTGTCCCTAATCCAATAATCAGTTTCAGTTAGAAATATGTCACAATACTGCAGTCAAGTCTGTAGCAACTTCTGGTTCAAGTGGAAAAAGTATTCTGTATTTCCTCTAGGTGGCATTAGTAGCACACACTGCACATACTTCACCTTTAAAGCTGCCTTAAAACAAATTGACTGCTTAACAGAATTATTTTTGTGTTGTACACAGCATTACGTCCTACATCAAGCAGGGCTACGGAACAGAAGACAGAACCGCCAGGGCTTTGTGATGAAAGAAGTCACCAACCCCACTGAGCCCACACCATACCAGAGCACATATCACACAGCACACTGCAGCAGATACCAAACAAATGAAGACACCAGTGGACGGCCAGTCTATTGGCACAGCCATAACATTATCACAGGTACTTCAGTTCACTGCAAATGATATGCACACAAAGAGGCTTTCAGCTACTAACACTTCCATAGAAGCAGATGATGTTTGTGTGGTGCAGTATTGCCAGCCACTCTCGTAAGTGTCCATGCAAAGAACCATTTTGCTATTTTGGGCTACAGGACAGGAGGAGGCTGCAGCTGGGCCTGGGAGACCCAGAAGACAGTCTGGCGAGAGTGTTTTGTGGGAAGCTCGACGTTGGGAGACACATCACGACTCGTTACGTTTGTACTAAACTGCTCAACTGCAACATGAGACCAGTAAACAGTTAATAAATGTTCTCTATTATGCTGGTTAGCAGTCAAATATTACGAACAAACCTTCAAAATTAGGTCTCTGTGGAGAAAAAAAAAAAACATTTAAAATAAGCATGAGCAAATAATTGGTTTGTTACATTTCTATAAATTATATAAAAATTAAATTTGGGTTATTTTTATTTATTTTAGTATGATTTATACACCGAATGAGCCACAACATATGACCACATACCTAATATGATGTTGGTCCTCTATAAGTTTCTAAAACAGTCCCAAACACCGGCAAGACCCCTGAAGATAGTCCTTTCATAGTTGGCACCAAGAAACTGACAGCAGATCCTTCAAGTTCTGCGAGTATTGAGGTGAACATTTTTGAGGTTGATTTGTTGGGTTAATAAACCCCACACACAGATTCTCAATTGGAGTGAGATCTGGTGAATTTGGAGGCCAGGGAAACATCTTGAACTCTTGTGTTCTTCAAAGGGTTCCCACTTTCATGAAGGGCAGATTCAAGGACTAACATTTGAAATCAAGTACCATTGTAATTTACACCCCCAGTAAGTGTAGTGCCATGTATGTCCTTACCGTTCTTAACATTTCACTTACACTTAATTTAAATGTGGGTAGGTTTTCCAGAGATGTTTGTCGTTCAAAAGCAGCAGTTTCCTAAATGTTGATCAAATTTGCGTTACTAGTCGTAGTTCTTGTACAGGATTTAAATTGTAAGATTTATGAATTAAGATTTTTTTTTTTTACAGCAGCACAGTACAATTGTTGAACTAACACTATCAACACATTTAATTTTAAATTTAATTCAAGCACTTTTAAGGACCTGTGTGTTTAAGCACTTTCCAGGCCTTGAGATCCTATGTTTGAAATTCAAATACTAAAGTGTAGGAAATGGAAACCCAGTCTTCAACCCTTCCTCTGGGAAACCCCATTACCATTATGATCTTAAAAATGTTTAGTGGGTAGCAAGTGTGATATTTTCGTCTCCAACACCCTGAACATCACAATCCCTCCACTACGTACCATTATCCTTCAGTGCATGTTGGTGTATTACCTCCGATATTTCTTTGGCATTTTAGAATGACCAAAACAACATTTCAGATATTTTACAATGTGTTCAGCTTGCTGGTTTATCCATTCACACACATTTTTTAATCACCACATAATCTTTTTTTTATTGTGCATACTGGAATTTGTTCAGTAAAAGTGTTACCATCATAGTTTATGCGCATCTTTTCTTATCACATAAAAAGTTTATTCTACTCAATTTTCAACATTTATGCGCATCTTGCCGTTTGCATCAACTGTTTTATCATGTGCATGTCCAAAATGCATGTGAAATAGGTGGATGGACACATAGCTACTCTCACCTACCCACACTTTAACATGTGCTATTGTTAGGAGGTAATATAATATTCACCTCACCTGTGTCAATATTTGAGCTCATCATTGTATATTGCGTTTCCACTTGCACCACAATATTTGTCAGTTACCCATATGCCCGACCATTATAAACATACTCGGTAAGTAAACAGCATCATGCATTGCGTGATAAACTACTAAGCGTTGTTCTGCCTACTTATGCCATCTAAACTATAGAAAATGTGCATTTTACTCCACTAAATCTTGTAGGAGGAAGCAGGAAAAATTGTACTAGCTTGACAAACTGAATAAAAAGGCTCTATTCTGATTGATTTGTGATAATTTTGTCTTTAGTACTCTAAAAATGTCTTTATTTTCCCTATTTGACTTAATACAGGCCGAAACATGACAATAATTGCATTTAAAAAAAAAAATACTGCTGTTGCAAATGATCAAGTTTAATTTGATAGGGACATTTTTTACGTTGTGCTCTCCAACATGTCTTACTGATGGTACGTCAGGAAAACCAGCTATACTGTTATTAGATTTCGAAAATGTGCTTTTTCATAATTATGTTTCTGAAACCTTTAGTTCATTGAAATATTTACATTTTGTTTTATTTCAATTATAGTACTTTGATATTTGCTAAAACAACCTCAAAGTTTCACCTCTAATATTTAAACATTTATCATCTATTGTTTTTAATAACTTCACAGATTTGGTTACAAAATCTAGTTTCAAATCAGTTTAATGCTTTAAAGAACACAAACAAAACGACAGGTAAAATGACATGGAGAGAAGACAAACTTAAGACAAGCTGATAGAACACACAACAGAGAGGAAATGAACGTGTATAAATATATACACACACACGCGCACACTCACACACACACACAACGAGAGGTTTTCAATTGGAAAATGGCTAGAGCTAGAGGACAGTAATGAGGGTCCACACAGCACTAGTACAGCAGTATGGGTCTAACGTCCCCTTCACAAACACTCCAGTTCAGGTTTTCCAGTGCAATTTTCAGAACAGTGCAGAAATGCATGTTTCCAAGCCATTCATAGACAAAAAGGCTACATTTCATGAATTCTGATGATGTGTTCTGTGCATCTAATTGGTTAAAGCAAATATTGGGCAGATGCCTTGCAAATTTAACAGATTCAAAGAAATTAAGCGCTCTATATTTTGCACAGACTTATTAAATGTGCTATGACATGCAAATATACATGACTGTAAGAGCTGAAATGAGTATTTCAGCATTGAAAAAATAAAACACTTTTGATGGAAAACAAATGTATACTTCAAACTGAAACCTAAAAACAAAGTTATACGTGAACCTTAAGAGATCTCTGCATACATTTAAGCTGTTCTCTAGATGTTACTTATCACTATCAGCTTAGTTTCTGCAAAAGCTTTACGTTGGTCTGTGGAAATTTGACGATAAGCAGGGAAGATGACCACATTAAACTCAAATTTGTCTGAATTTTCAGCCTTCTGAATTGTTTTCACTCGAGCTTTATCTTTTACTCGTTCTTCTTCTCCTTCTGTTTAAGAAGTTTGTTGATTTCTCTCTTTGCCATGCCAGCATATTTGGTGATGATGCCATGCTGGTTGAGGCCAGGAAGCAGCAGAAGGAAACTCACTGTGGACACAAAACAGAAAATGAATTGGTAAACTGGCATGCAACAGGGCATGCTAAACAGAATCAGTAATATTACAAACATAGTTTGGACTACAAAAGCAATTTGTTCTTTGTTTTATGGTTGAAAGTCAATGAGTTTAAATAGTTTTAGACAGCATTTGACTGTATTTAGCGTTAACTACTTGATCACAATGACAAAAAAAGCTCGTTTCAAACTGCACTATTTTGTATTATCATCATTTTACTTTTTTCTTAAAATGGATAGATCACTAAAAATGAAAATGACCACATTATTGACTTCCTAATGTGGTTTAAAACAGAGTTTCCTCTGTTGAACACAACAGAAGATCTTTTGGAGAATGCTGGTTGTTGGCACCCTTCACTCTTTTAAATTTATGAATGGTGTTCGGGGCCTCTCTGTGTGTGTGTGTGTGTGTGTGTGTGTCACACAGAAATACACACACAGTATTTCTGACGGCAGACACGTGAACTAGCAGAACGTTTTTCTCGTATTTCTGACGCGCTTGAACCACATGTGACAAATTATAACGGCTTTAACAGACACATTTCTAAGTTGTGTGTCACAAAAACAGTTATCCATTAAAAACGTCATTGAAACTCATTTTCGGAGCGCAAATTACCAGTTGTACTCGCTGTAAGCGGAAGTTTTTAGCATTTTACCGGAAGACGCTGGTCGCTATGGCGCCCTCCATGCAGCAGCCATGAAACTATATGAAACATTAACTATAGTTAAGATTATATTTGCATACGAGATACAATAAAATGTATCAAATGAGTATCAGATGTCTTTTTGCATATCGAATTTCAAAAAACTTAAATTTACTTAATTACTCAATACTTTATCATGCATGCATTGATTGTGTAAATAAAGGCTGAGGCTAAGGATCCTTGGTAAAAAAACAGCATTGGGTAAGTTACTTAAAGGAAAAAAAAAAATTACAGCTACCAGCATTCTTCAAAATATACATTACATTTCTTTGTGTTCAAACAGAAGAAACAAATAGTTTTGAAACAAGTAAATGGTGAGTAAAATGACAGAAGTATTATTTTTTGGGTGAACTAACCCTTTTAGAGGCAACACATTTTTACACTTATTTACATTTACCTCACCATCATGCCAATCATCATGAAACCAGCGATATATAGATGCAGAGAGACTCTTGTTTAGGCTAGCGTAGTGTCTTAAGATTATTTTCTTTTTAACAAACAAGCAAGCAGGGCAAACGAGGATAAAATATAAATAGGATTTAAAACAAATGGAAAATGACTTCAGCTCACTTGAATGTTTCCCCCAATTGGTACAGGGAGATTTAATAAATCCTGTTTGCAGGGAGGGCAAGAGGCAGCACATATTTCTGGATAGAAATTGTGAATTTCCATGAGCCAAGTACAATGACCTCTTTGTTGCGCAGCCTAGTGTGTTTGCACGTGTCTAGCTTTGATAAGAGGTCAATGACTTTTCTACAGTTTGCACAGTTGTGTCAGATTCATAAATAATTACATATTCTGCTAGCTTAAAATCTAATAATTATAAATAAACAATAATAATTATTTTTTTGCAATGCAACAAGCTGGACATAAGCAATGCATTGCTGTAACAGACTTGCATTGTTTTTACGAAACAGCATACCTATCAGGTAGGTGAGGAAGAGGTTATGAACTTGTTGTCCAATCCAGGCCACAGCCACAAGACTGCTGATCACAGAGAGGAAATACTACAGAGAAGTAAAACAAGTGTTACATGGAGGAAGACCAAACTTTCACAATGACATCAAGTTCTCAGTTGCCTACTTCTGTCATCCAGCTCATAAAAGTGTGTATTATCATAAAGTTAAGTCTTTTCATAAAGTCAAGTGATAAATTCACATTCACAAGCCAAGTCAAGCTCTTAGCATAGCAATTAACAGCATAAAACCCCAAAGAGAGGTACTTTCTGGAAGTCTCATTTAATAAAAGTTATATTGATTCGTACACAAAGAGAGTAAATGCAGCATTACGGTAACATTTTACAGTAACAAAAAAAACATTTCATTTGACATTTTAAAATGATCTGTGTGATAAAGCTGAATCCTCATTTACTACACCACACCTGGAAACAGATACACGAGTCTTTAGTAAACAAACTTCAAAAGAACAGCCTTCATTTGAAACAATGGTTTTGTAATATTAGAAAATGCATTTTCACTTTTGATCACCATTAACTTTAAATCTAAAAAATCTTTTGTTCATTTGCTTGCTTGTGAATGTTTTAAGAATATATAAGAGATAATGAGGGCTGCTGCTTACACATCTGCTCTCATTAATACCATTTAATCTATGTATATTGTGACATCAACAATGACAAAGCCCTTAAATATGTTCTCTTAAGGGCAAAATTATTAATTATGTATAAGCTATGAATTAGGTCTGCGTTACATTTGTTTATTTCAACTGCTGAGCAACAGTGATAAAACAGATTCAGTGGTGTAAAAAATGCAGCTCGCAGGGAGTGGTATTAGTCACTAGTGAGTTCTTTAGACATAAAACAATGAAGGTGTTTAACAAGTCAAAGCAGAATACCATTTTTGGCTTTTCTTCCTTCAGGGCAAACAGACGTTTCCACCAGCCGAGCACACGGCGCTGAGTCTTCACAAGGTTTCCACAGATCTCATGAAAACGCTGCTGCTGTTCTGTGGTCCTGTGCAGGAACAAAAAAATAGATAATTAGACTCCTCAAAACCCTCCCCAAACTAGAACTAATTAATTACAATATCTAAAATACATTTAACCACCACAATAGCAAGTAATAAATGTTTTGCGAAATTAAAAGTTTATTTTTTTAGATGTTAGTATCCGTATGTTAGCTTTAAGAATATCTATAAGCTAATGTGCTCCAAAACAGTGACAAAGTTTACATTTAGAAGTTATGCCCAGATTTCCAAACTTGACTACTGCATACTTCAGGTTTTACATCAAATCTTTTGTCCAGTCAAATGCTCTCCAGTATCTGACATGACCCACCCCCTTCTCGACTCATTTGATGAGGTTGAGCTCAACCGCTTTCACTGGCAGAACAAAATGAAACACTATTGGTTGTTTTGTTTTGTTTTTCAAGGGAAAGAGCTACTATTTCAAACCCTGTCTTCATGTTTCAGTTGTGATTGCACCAAACACTGAATTAAAAAATGCACATTTCAAAGCATTTCATTGCATCTTAAACAACAAGACATTTCAATTTTTGTTGTTGGGGGTTGGGAGAAATTGTTTCTTCATAGAACACATAGTAGGGGAAAAATGGTTTCCAACAACATGTAAAATGTCCGAACTCTCAGTACTCATAAAAGATTCAACAAAAAGCACAGAGAAGACCCATTACTTCCACTGAGATTCTGCAGTGCTCATCTGATGGACGCTTCATTATGCCACGAGGCCAAGGGTAAGAGTTTATGAATGGCAGTTAAGTGAAACAATGGTTGCTGGTAAATCATGTGACAGTAACAAGATATCAAACAGTGGATCCAAATTCCATTCACGCTACAAACATTCCAACTATACATCACTTTTTTAAGTAAATAGTTTTTCAAAATAAACACCTATTCAGCAAGGTATATGCTTTTTAAACAATAACTATTTTTTGTATGTTGTTAAAATGTAGCTCATTCAATAATAACGCAGTTTATAAAG